TATCCACCCATCCACATACATACAAATATATACATACATATGCATATCTCATAGACAGAGATGGACAAATAGAGATATTTCACCACCACAGGGCAGAATGACTGAAGAGATAACCATGCTTATACATGAAAAGCGTTGGTATGTCATAACATTTTATTATTTATCCAGTTCTTTTCAGTATATTGAATTTCTGGTTAATGATCATAATGGATAGCATATATCTCTTATAATTGATGCACGCACGCGTGCGCACATACACACACAGGAATATCTGCAGATAAAGAAATGGGAAAACAGCAAATGGAAAGAGGAAAATGGATATGGATCAGTTTGCTTCTCCTAATCTCAAACTCTCCAGATAACTGCAGCACAAGCCATTTAAATATAGGTTGAATTAGGCTGCATGAGGCAAAACACATTATAAAATGTGATCCTTCATTATTTATGGGACAGCCACACCATGGGGACATAAGTAGCAAGAGGGAGGACTTTTGCTGACAGGAAGAGATGGAAGTGTTTTTTCTTTGTTTGTTTTGCATCCTATCTCGAAGAATAGATCTTTCTCTACTTGGTGGCTTTGTTGCTGAACTTCTACTGAGATTTTTTGTCCTGTCATTTTTACCTTTACTTTGTTAGACTTTGATATTTTTTACATTGTTATAAGTACCATTCAGCTCTACAGACTTAGGGATACAAATACTTTAGATCAATTAAAAAATGAGGAATGCATATTGCATCAAAATAATTGATTGAATTCACTTAAAGATACATGGTATGACAGTTTTAATGTCTCTCACTCAATTCCCACATGTACAAACGTCTTTCCATTTGCATGGATTCCATTAATCGAAAGTTAAAAAAAACCACAAATGTAGAATCTAGGATTTTGACAGTTTCCTCATACAATTAGAATGATCTCCATCCTAGAAGTTACAAAGCCATGCTTGTAATACATACCTGCAGTACCCTGAATATCCCTTGCCGAGTTCACTGAGATCAAATATTGATAAGCTACTGTTGACATATCCCTTCAAACATCTAGGAGATAAAAAAAGACTAATCAATACATTTGGTCCTGAATAATTACTTTGTCAGAAACCAGGCATGCAAAACATGTTTCATTCGCCCTGCTTGCCCTTACCCATGCATGCCTACATATGTTATGGCATGCTGGTCATATCTTCAGTGGATGATGAGGACAAAATGTCATAAAATTTCATATGCGGGTAGCAGGAGCTATGCTGCAAGAAAACCATAAAGCTCTGAGTATGTGCAATGAAGTTTATGCCTTGGAAATTGATGCATGCACATGTGGATTCCCCTCCCTTTGGCTTAGAAGTCATAACTAATGCTAAATAAAAAAAAATCCTTCCTGTCATTCAGTTATGGGATGCTGAATGAAACTACTTCCCTTCTCAAAGTGAAGAAGGATGTCAAAGTGTGCTTATGGACAGGATTCAGATAGACAGCCCCTACTATAGAAATCTGTTTTTGGAATCCTGGAATGGAGGCATTATTTTCACATGATGATGTCACTGGTAAAATAATGGACACCAAGGTAGCAATATTTAAGTTTGCTAAATAATTATTTGGTTGACGGATATTTAGTACCCATCCTACAAAGAGGCATTAGTACATGTCAAAAAATATAAGATAATGTTGATTCCATGGAAACTTCTATTTTGAACTAATTTATGCTGTTTTTCATGCAAGTTTGATGTAAATTCAATAAATATATATATTTGTTCCTGCTCAGATCTAAAAGAAAATGTTAATGAAATGAGGACCATGCCAAGGCATTTTCATGAAAACATTTATTGAGGTTATGGGCTAAGGCTTAGAATAGAGCCTCATCTGTTTATTTCTTATAAAAAGAATTGAAGATTATCTGGGAAAAAAGGTTACAGCCATAGCATGGATAATGGAACTGAATTAGTGCGAGAGAGAAAAAAAACCTATCTGCATGATACAATAACTCCTCTGTTATACCTACCTATTAAATGTGTAACTGTAAAGTCAAAGAATCAGAAAACATTATCAATCGAAATTTAAGAAATTGTAAATAGCAAAATAAATGAAACTGAAATAGCAGACCATTAAATCAGAAATTCAGAAGTAAGCAATCTGATTACCTCTAAAGTTTTGGACTTCAATCATAGCCGATACATTTTTTGTGAAAGTTGTGGCCCAAAACACATGGAAGATCATAGGTAGTTTCCTTTTAAGAAAGGGACCCTACTTTTGACATTGTGGATTATCTGTATTTTTGTAAGCAAACCCCTGCCATGGTCTGCTGATGAAATGCTAGTTTTAGTGATATCAGGATATGAGATCTACTGAAATGAATGTTCTGAGGTTGGGGAATGGAATAGGAGACTTTTCTAATATTATTTTCAAGGTTCTGGATTTTAGTTTCATCCAGTAAGGGCCTGATGAACAAGTAAACTTGCAATATTATTTTATTTGTGTGATATTTGCCACAGGTAGAATAATGTTTTTTTTAAAGCATCTTCACAGTCTTGAACATATTAAGGCACTGAAACTGTGAAGCTGTTCCACTGAATACAACAAACTTAAAAACAACACAGTTCGGGTACATAAGCTGAAGATAACAATTCTGCAAGTGGAGATTGGTTAAGGTTTTTGAGCTTCATTGGCACAACCTTTGGTATAGATGTACTTTGTCAAAATAGCAAAGTCATAGATAAATTGCAAGTGGAAAATTCCCCAAGGGGGAAAGCAAATCTGCTGACAAACTTGATGAAAATGCAGAAGTTAAGACATTGGTTAAAATGTAAAAGGATAGCAAAGGCAGAATTACTTTTCCTGTCTGTATCCTTCGTTGATACAAGGTCCATATTTGTATGCATAAACAAAACGTGGGATATAGTCCGAAGTAATGGCAATGACAAAAGCATTGGTGATTACAGCTAGAACTCCTATTCCCTCGAGTATGCCATACCAGATACCTAGAAGAGAAGAATTACAGTATGACTAAAAAGCTGATAAAGCATCATAAAGATTTGTCCAGTTACATAACAAAATTAAACAGCAACTTCCAACAATGCTGTGTGTCTTGCCCTTCATTTAAATTAGTCTAGGAAGTAAACATCCACTTTCAGAACCTGTCTATGAATCTGCCCTTTGCTGTCACAATAAATGGTAATCCATTTTGCCTCGCTTATAATTCTAACATCATACATGCATTAAAAATGGTGCTTTCATACTATATCAACTTGTTGCAGGAATCTCAACTGAATGACGGCGATATAGAGATGGAACAACTGCCTATTTGATTCAGTTCATTGCCTGTTTACACAGAACAGTGGCAAGTCCTACCTGTCAATGACTACTTTAGCTTCAACTGCAATAATACATGGACAAACCATAGATACAAACTAAAGGTAAACCGCTCAAAATGTGATTGCTGAAAATATGACTTCAGCAATAGAATGGTCAATGCTCTACCTGACTCTGTTGTTACATCTTCAAACCCCTATAACTTTAACCTTAAACTGTCTAGTGTGGACCTCACCTCTTTCCTAAGAGATCTGTAGGAGGACGTGCATAAGCATACCAGTGTGCCTACAGTACCTGGCGTGCTGTCCCCATTTATCCATACCCATTTACTGTGTTCATGTCCATACTGTGTTCATGTTTATACTTATACCTGTTATCTTGTACATGTTTGACGAAAGAAAGAAAGAAAGTCTCTGAGGGTCCCTTATTCAGGGTATTTAAGTNGCATTAAGATTAAAAACTTGTTTCATGTGTACTAATGTCATGCCATAACCACCATCTTGATTCCTTTGATCTTTGATTCCTGACAGGCTCAAGATTGATTCAGTCTTCTATCCTTCTGAGGTGGGTAAAATGAGGACCCAGATTGTTGGGGGGCAATATGCTGACTCTGTAAACTGCTTAGAGAGGGTTGTAAAGCACTATAAAGTGGTCCATAATTCTATTGCTATTCCTCATGGATGCCCTTTCCTCAAAACCTCTCGTTTCATTAATTTTCACAGTACCTTAACATTTCTTTGGAATTTTTAATTGTTACTGGATTTAGCTGAGGGTTGTATATTTGGGGGGGAGGGTTGGGGGGGAAGGTCATATATTGAGTCATTTGGGTCATTATTTGATGTCATATTTTTGTCACCCCATTGTTTCTGATGAAGTGAACTGGAATTCATAAATGTTTAGGCTTTTAATAAAATATGTTAGTTGCTAATGAAAGTGTCACCATAGATTATCAGAGCTCTCCTCCTACAATATTGATAACTAAATCATGGAAATCCAGGAAATCCTCAGATGCTGAAATGTACGACTGCAGAATGAAACATTGTTGAACTTCATTGATTGCCTTAACACCCTTAAATACTAGAATTCTGACTATTTATTTTTCTAACAATGTAATTATCATTTTAATGAAAAAATGGAATGCACATTTCCCCATCAAATTGAATAATTATGGTTATATTTCTATTAATCCTTTCACTACTTTTATCCTATTGGTGATAGGTAAAGAAATACATCCAGTTTATCCTAACCAAGAAATACGGTGTATATACTTTGAGGTCTTTTAACATCTGCTCCAAATATACAGGTTGACTTTTATGTAAGAGGTGGGATTTCTGGCAGCACACGTGTAATCCTTGGTGAAAAATAAGTTCTTTGAGGAATAAAATTAAGTTAATGTATCATATGCTTGAAGGTTTGATAAACCCATTTAATTCATTTTAATATTGAGTAAGCTTCTTTTATATTAATAATAATTACAGTGTATTTCAATTAAGTCTTGCATAAATTCTTCAGCATTTCGACCCTAGGAATCACAAATTTCTGTTTTGGATAATTCCAGGCATCATAAAATTGGCTTAAACACCCGTGTCCTATGTGTGGATGTGTGCAAGTATGTGTGTGCATTCATTGGTAGGTCACTCACTTGCTAATCAATGTTTTTAGCCTAGGATGTTGCATGAATGCAGCCAGTATTGCTACACATAATCCACTTCTAAAGAACTACCATATTTTTCGGAGTATAAGACCCACCGGAGTATAAGACTCACCAAGGTTTTAAGAGGCAAATTAAGAGAAAAAAGGTTTTGAACTCTGCAAACCTCCAAAAAATGGCCCATTTTTCGTGAAAATGGGCCTGTTTTTTTCCAAAAAAAGGGCATTAATAGTCCTTAGGAGTATTTTAGAGTATTCCGGGGGGAGGGGGCAAAATGAGCAAAAAATGTCCCATTTGTCACAAAAACGGGCCCATTTTTTGTCAAAAAAGGGCATTAATAGTCCTTAGGAGTATTTTAGAGTATTCCGGGGGGAGGGGGCA